CACCATATTTAATTTACATGCAGGACAATTAATTTTTTAGTTGGGTTGGATTGGGTTAAGAGGTTTCCATGCACCATATTTAATTTACATGTAGGACAATTAATTTTTTTAGTTGGGTTGGATTGGGTTAAGAGATTTCAATGCACCATATTTAACTGACATGGAGGACAATCAATTTTTTAGTTGGGTTGAATTGGGTTAAGAGGTTTCCATACACCATATTTAATTGACATGTAGGACAATCAATTTTTTTTTAGTTGGGTTGGATTTGGTTAAGAGATTTCCATGCACCATATTTAATTTACACGCAGGACAATCAATTTTTTAGTTGGGTTGGCTTGGGTTAAGAGGTTTCCATGCACCATATTTAATTGACATGCAGGACAATCAATTTTTTTAGTTGGGTTGAATTGGGTTAAGAGGTTTCCATACACCATATTTAATTTACATGTAGGACAATCAATTCTTTAGTTGGGTTTGATTGGGTTAAGAGGTTTCCATGCACCATATTTAATTTACATGTAGGACAATTAATTTTTTTAGTTGGGTTGGATTGGGTTAAGAGATTTCAATGCACCATATTTAACTGACATGGAGGACAATCAATTTTTTAGTTGGGTTGGCTTGGGTTAAGAGGTTTCCATGCACCATATTTAACTGACATGCAGGACAATCAATTTTTTAGTTGGGTTGAATTGGGTTAAGAGGTTTCCATACACCATATTTAATTGACATGTAGGACAATCAATTTTTTTTTAGTTGGGTTGGATTTGGTTAAGAGATTTCCATGCACCATATTTAATTTACATGCAGGACAATCAATTTTTTAGTTGGGTTGGCTTGGGTTAAGAGGTTTCCATGCACCATATTTAATTGACATGCAGGACAATCAATTTTTTAGTTGGGTTGAATTGGGTTAAGAGGTTTCCATACACCATATTTAATTGACATGTAGGACAATCAATTTTTTTTTAGTTGGGTTGGATTTGGTTAAGAGATTTCCATGCACCATATTTAATTTACATGCAGGACAATCAATTTTTTAGTTGGGTTGGCTTGGGTTAAGAGGTTTCCATGCACCATATTTAATTGACATGCAGGACAATCAATTTTTTTAGTTGGGTTGGATTGGGTTAAGAGGTTTCCATGCACCATATTTAATTTACATGTAGGACAATCAATTTTTTTTTTCTAATTTTTTTTTTATTTTCTATTTCCAGAGCTTGGACTGTTCCCAGGAAGTGAGTAAGCGTTAGAATGTTTGGTTACATTGTATCACAGATTTGATTGCTCAAAAACAAACTGCAAGAGAGTCTAATAGAATTTTATCCATGAAGATGAGCAGAGTTGTTATTATCGGTTACTTTGCTTACGGGAATGTCCGTCGGAGATTAAGTTATATTTAGGGGAAAGTAAAAAAAATAAGAAAAAGTTTTTGTTTTAATATATATATATATATATATATATATATATATATATTAAGGTGGTTTAACAGTTTTCTAGAATGTCCTAGAAGGTTGATATTGTTATCGGTTACTTTGCTTACGGGAATGTCCGTCGGAGATTAAGTTATATATAGGGGAAAGTAAAAAAAATAAGAAAAAGTTTTTGTTTTAATATATATATATATATATATATATATATATATATTAAGGTGGTTTAACAGTTTTCTAGAATGTCCTAGAAGGTTGATATTGTTAAGAACCTTTCGAACAAAAAGCAATCCAGCCTCGTTTTAAGAACTGTCTCCTTTTTTTTTTCTTTTTTCAATGGGGCGCGACATATTTCTAGCCAATGTTTGCACTCCACACTGACGTTTTTTTCACGTCATTCAACAAATACGTGAAATCTGTTTTAAACAGTGAAAATCCAGGTCACGGAGGGTACAGGATGATTGGTTAGTCATTTAGTGAACTTTAGGCTGGAGGTTAGGGGTTCAACCGAGCTAACAGAAAGAAAAAAAAAATAAGTTGCCTAGAATGCTGAGTCAAATAAAATTAAAGGTGTTAAAATCGTGTTGTTGTTTTTTCCTTCTATTTATTTTCCACTGATAAAGTTTCCTTTTATATGTGATTATAATTTGGTTCATTTTTAACAGAATTCAACAACAGCAAAAAAAATTACATATTATCGAATAGCATTAGGACAACTTGTCAAATCTGAACATGATTTTTTTTTTAACTCGCACGGCGGAATTCACAAGAAATAAGAATAATATGTTTGTGTTTTGTTTTTGTTTTTTTTTTATTAATGGAATGACAACATCAAAATAAATGTAATAAATAACATAAAATTTCGTGTATAATCTGATGAGTAGATTTTTTCATTGATCTATTCCAAATGCCATGATTATTGAGCTACGTTAATAGCTATTCTATTTTCACAGACAGAACATATAAATCTACTGGTAAGTTGATTAAAACATTTTAAACAATGAAAGGATGGTGTGTGTGTGCGTGTGTGTGTGTGTGTGTGTGTTTGTGTGTGTGTGTAAATTTGTGTGTGTGTGTGTGTGTATGTGTGCGCGCGCGCTTCTGATAGTTTTAATGACCTCGCTCTTTTAAAAAAGCATTTCCCATGTTAATTGTTTGTATGAGCGTGTTTGTGATTTTATTTGTACGTTTGTTTGTGTGAGAGGAGGGGGTGGGGGTCGGTGTGATTCTCTGGAAGAGTTGGGGAAAAACTGGGTTTGTTTTGCCTGTCAGGAAACAAAAAGGTAAATATGTTTAAAGATCATATCTTTTTAAAGTCACATTTTATTGTATATCATTATAACATTCACTTTCAAATGTTCTCAGTAGGTACGTTTAAGTTTAAACACCTGCTTAGTGTGTAGCAGGTAGAGCCTTAAGTATTTAAACACCCTGTCGAGCAACAGGTAGTAGATTTAGTTATTTTTAAACACCTGCCGAGTGACAGATGGGGGTCAGTCCAACAATCCCGAATTTATTAGACTAAATGAAAAAGGAACAGAAAAAAAAGCCACACATGGTAGCGTCGTGCCGTATCATGTGTACATCTCTCCGTGGGTGAGGGGCGCGCCCCACCCCTTATAGATATCAATTCATTTCTAGGCGGGTGAGGGGCGCCCCCTTCTAATCCATATCTACATTGGTGAGCCAAGCGCTAGCTTAATTGCATAAACCAGAGAGTTTCGCTAACTGGCGTGCAGCAAAACTGTGCCCATCGCTGTTGTTGTTAGTGGTGGGGGTGGCGGACTTGTACAACATTCTTCTGGTGCAAACGACGAACTGAAATCCCGGGCATCAAATTAAAATGTACTAAATAAATTTTACAAAATTTTCAATGATTTTTCAACGCCGAGAAGTGTAAGAACCCCCCTTCCCCTGCCAAAAAAAAATAATAATTAATAATTACCACCATCCTTCACAACTTAATAGGTTAATTCATTATTTTATTAACCTTTTTTTGTTTCTTCAAGTTACAGTGAAATTAATGAATAGGCTACCTTGAGTTATCAAACAATCGTTCATTCTTAATTCCCCTTGCAGAGTGCAAAAACAAAGTGGACGTGTGTGCGTTCGCCTACGTGGATGTTCTCCTGAAGAACCACACGGACTCGACCAATCACAACGCGACAGTGTTATGCCAGTAAGTTGTTGGGATATTAAATCTGCAAAGCCACGTTTCCTACGCATTAGAATACAACACAACACAACAAGATCTAACGTAAAGGAGTATGTTATTAAATTTTGTGCTTAATTCATTTAAAAGCCATTTAAACAAAAAAAAAATTGAATAATTCATTTGGCTATAACAGTCGTTTTTTTTTAAATATTTGTATTTTCTGGTGACACACTAGAATTTTTTTTTACGAAGTCGTTATTCGGACCCGGGTCCGAGAAGTTAGAGGTTGGGACTAAAATTTAAAAAAATATATATTATGGTTCGGTTGTAAGGCAAAATTTGGTATCAAATGAAAGATAATTGAATGGATTATATGTTTCTAAACTTAATTCTTCAGTTTAACTAAAATAAACTACCACAAATGACATCCGAATAGCATTGATTCTAAAGGGACCCGGGTCCGAATAGCGCCGGTGCGTTTCCGGTTCCATTTTGAAGGCTTTCTACGGAGGACTTTGTTTTTACGGGTTGTCTAATGTTATTCTTGTATCAAATGTGTGCAGTGCGCCAGTGAAACTTCCTTTAACCACATGCTCTAGATATTTTTAAGTGGCAGTTGTTTTTTTTTGTTTTTTTTTTTTTTTTTTTTTTGACTTAGGCGAATTTTACTACTCTTTCGTTCAAAGCGAATTTTACTATTCATTCGAAGCGAATTTTACTATTCATTCGAAGTGAATTTTACTGTTTTTTAAGTGGCAGTTGTTTTTTTTTGTTTTTTTTTTTTTTGTGTGTGACTTAGGCGAATTTTACTACTCTTTCGATCAAAGCGAATTTTACTATTCATTCGAAGCGAATTTTACTATTCATTCGAAGCGAATTTTACTGTTCATTCCAGGCGAATTTTACTATTCATTCGAAGCGAATTTTACTATTCACTCGAAGCGAATTTTACTATTCATTCGAAGCGAATTTTACTATTCATTCGAAGCGAATTTTACTATTCATTCGGGGCGAATTTTACTATTCATTCGAAGTGAATTTTACTATTCATTCGAAGCGAATTTTACTATTCATTCGAAGCGAATTTTACTATTCATTCGGGGCGAATTTCACTATTCATTCATTTGAGGCGAAGTGTACCATTCATTCGAGGCGAATTTTACTATTCATTCATTTGAGGCGAATTTTACTATTCATTCGCCAGAGATGTGGCTAACAAAATGTGGCCAAACTTAGGTCTAGGAATGATAATTCAAGAATGATACGCTTCAGAACTTTCAGAAGCTAAGTAACTTAGAACTCAACACAATGTTCCCATGTGATGCGCAGCGCTGTCTTGCGCACCGTGCACGGGAAAGACGTTCATTTTGTGTGTAGTAACATAACATTGTGCATTACATTAGAGCGTTCATGACCGACCCAGCCGCAGCGGAAGATCTTGCTGTTGATTGTTGGTTTTTTTATTTATTGATATAGTTTATATAAGGGAAAATGACACAAAATGCGTTTCTTCCACTCTACACCATCTCAAGAACACGTCTATCAGAAACATTTCACAAATCCTTCAATCCTACCGACATTGACCTCGTACGACACACTGTGTCTAAGTATTACACTAAGGTTTGATACACAGTTCAGTTTAATATTATGATTTACTTAAAATATTAAGAGGTATGTGTCAGTGCAGATAACAAGAGAAGGTCTTTGAACGATTGGGGAGAATGATTTGTTAAAGCAGGCGTGCACAACATTACGGCCCGCGGGCCACATGTGGCCCGCCAGCACCCACTTTGCGGCCCGCGAAGTAACGAAATATTCTTTATTATTATTTTTTTTTAATAGCTTTTCTTCCTTGTCCTATTATCTTTCGACCCGCCCAAGTTTTTGAAAAAGGATTACGGCCCGCCTTACATTTTGAGTTGTGCAGCCCTGTGGTGAAAGATAAATCGCATAATCTAACTTACCGTTTGTTGGTTTCTCTAAGGGAGCTGGACACATTTGGTAGCTGTCTGATGCACATTGACAGTTGTGATTCAGGCAAAGAGGAAGTAAGTTGGTCATTATAACAACGTATTCATAGTGTGACTCTTGTGACCCGGAGAAGCCGTTGTAATGTGGGTCTATTGTTTGGGCCCTTTTGTTATTCATAAACTACCAATTGTTACTCTGACAATGAATGTGTGCCTCTTCCAACTCTGAGTGGTTGGCCTCAGTATCTGAAAGATTACTGTGTACTTTATAAATCAAAATAAATAAATTATTATAAATCAAACACTTTGTAGAATACTGTCAGAGGGGAAGGGGGGGGGGGGAAATGAAGAAAATATATTTCAACAGATTATGTTCTTTTAATTAAACGCGTGTTGATGAAAAAAAAAAAGGGGGGGGGGATATATATTCCTTTCGCTACAATTTACTACAATGGAAGGTGCAATAACTTTAATTTCAAGTTTATAAGCCTACTAAATATCCAGTCAAATTAACTTATGACTTCATATCCCCAAAGGTAGTAAAGACAATCAATGATGAGAAGATAAGATTGAAGATGCCGGAGTGTGGTAAAAACTAAAAAACTTTTTTTTTTAATCATAATTTTTTTTTTTTTTTTTGTTATTTTAAATTCTAATTTTTGATCATGTAATTGCTATTTTTAAATAATTTAGCAGTGCCGTTTTAAAAGGTTTGCTTTAGATGCAAAGAAGCAACAACAAAAATTCTGCTTAATTTTGTTCGATGTTTTTTAACATAGTTTTAAGAACATAATTTTTAAGGATATAGTTCTGAAGGATAATATTGTTTAAGGAAATTGTTTGTTATAAGAATTTGAACACTGAGCAGGGCAAACAAAAGGGGTCGTAAATAATTTTTTTTTTTAATTTTCAGAAACACCGTCTTTGAACCAAGGTGTGAGAATCAGTGTAGCCATCCACCTGGTTTCTCTTCTGGCTACCCTCGTCACCATGGGATCGATGTCTTAAATCAACGACACATCTTTATATCACCTTGCCTTCATAGCAAGGAATAAATTACCATATTTTACGCGCATAATTAAGTTATCAAAATATTAAATCTTATGTAGTTTTGGAGTTCTTATTTGGGCTGTAGTTCAATGAAAATGTATATAGAACAGAATTTTGCCTAAATTTTGCTGATCATTTCGGAAAAAGGTGGGGAAATTTATCAAAATTTGTATACATGATACTAATTGATTGTTTTCATTATCTTAATATTATGTAGCAATATCAACATTATTTTTACATTTCTAGAGAGTCTATATAGCATATTGAAATGCTAAGAGTACACTTCTTTATAAAACAAATAGTAACGTGAAGTGTTTTGGATTATACTTAAAAAGTCCAGAAATACATTTATTTTATTTTTGTCTTGTTCATCTTTATTCAATTTCAATCATTTTTTTTAAAAATTGCCATTAGTTTGATAAACATTTTGAATGGGGTTTTTTATTATTTTGAAACAAAATTTGTTAATAAATTTAAAAAGACTTTGAAATCTATAAAACAAATAGAGTCTATATAGTTTTTGGAACATCCGTCTAAGAAATTTGACAAATTATTGACTTTTAGTTCCTTATAAAGACACATTTTCAGAGTTTGTCATTCAAAGTTTCATGTGATTTATTTGTAATTGGTTAACATTTTACATTAAAATATATTTTTTTTTTACTTTCTCTTCAATTCCATTATTATTTTATTATCAGCCACATATTTTTATTTGTGGCGTTTCTTATGCACTGTAAACGTTGTTTTCATACCAGTCGCTTTATAATCATATTTAATGACATCATTTCATTTATTAATCATCCCAATATTCTATTACCTTTGTGTCTTAAAAACATAGGCCTGTGATTCTGAGGCCCTCAATCAAGCATTAGAATTTCAATTTCCTTTTTTTTTTCTTCTTTTTTTTTTCTTAACACATATTTTATTTAATTTTACTAATCTAATTGTCATTGGAAATGTATTTGTTATGTTTATTTATAATCTTTTTAAAATTTATTTGACACTTTTTTTTGTACATGCAAAATGGCGGCCATAAAATGTAAGCAAATTTCAATTTTCAGACTTATAATCTTCATCATTCACAATAGAAACAGGACAATCATTTTTTTTTAATATATATATTTTTTTAAATTTAAATTCAAATATTTACAGTTTACATTAAATCATTCGGCAGAATTAAACAATTTCCCCCAAAACTGTTAGTATTGCTTTTTTTTTTACAATGGGTTTGATATAAAATATATTAGCTAGGTGATATGCGCTCACAGAGTTTGCTGATCATATAATTCAAAGCTTCGCACGCACAAACAAAATGTAATATGACATCGCTATCAAAGTCAAAGTTTTTATACATTTTTATGAAACATCGTCAAGGCAAAATGTTGGTCATGCAAAGAGATGACTCAGTTAATAAATAATTTATAATAATAACTAATAATTAGGTGGCTCAGAGTTGAATCGGTGACAAATATCCTCCAAACCAAGGTCATTTAAAAAACACTTGGTGTTAAGATCCCCCCCTTCCCTTCCCCCCCACCCCCAGAGTTTATATTTAGCTCTACTTTAACTTTTCTTTTTTTTTTTCTTGTTGTTGTTGCTGTTTTCAACTTAAATGAATAGGATCTTACAATCCGTGGTTGACTAAGAATAAGTGAAATTAGATTTACACCTAATATAAAAAATCATTTGCAACAGATGCGGAGCCCATCGAAGAATTTATTTAATTTTAGTTCCTAGATTTGAGTTAAAAATATAGTCTAGTACTTTGTTGTTGTTGTTTTTTTTTTTTTGTTGTTTTTTGCGGGTTGTGCGTGTGTGGGGGGGGGGGCAAAAAAATGTAGGTGATGTGTTTTTTTTTTTATTTTTTTTTTTATTATTTTTTTTTTTTTTTTGTTTTTTTTTTTTTTTTTTTTTTTTTTTTTTTTTGGGGTTGTGGGTGTTTGGGGGGGGGGGCAAAAAAATGTAGGTGATGTGATTGGGTGGGGCATGGGTTTAAAAAAGGAACAGCAACACTCAGGTCCAGTAAATATGTTGTTGTTTTTTTTTAATGTTGGCACGTCACAGTTTAGCTTTGTGTTTGTTTGTGTTCTTACGTGGTAGAAGATTTGACACGGAGTTACTGGGGTTAGTAATGGAGAGCTTACTTTGCTACTTTCAACCTCCTATTGCGAAGTCTTAACATCTAAAAAATTCCAATTTATACGTATGTAACCGAATGGAGTTTCGATGTATTGTATCCGTTAACAAACGACAATGTTACATTGGTATATTTAGGAAACAGTAAATCACAATGTCTTAACTTTTTTTTACTGAACTGATGTTTACGTTACTAGCATCATGGGATGCTTGACAAATGTTTTTCTTCTTTACAATATATACTTCCTTAACCTTTGCGTGCCCTGTATTACAAAGAAAACATATTTTCTAAACAAAACATGGGAAACACATCTCATAATTTATTTATTTTTAATATCTATGTACCAGTATAAATATGTTATGTAACTTTTTAAGGATTTTCATATATTTTGGTATCTTCATTCAAAAATATGCCCAACCTATGCCTCGCTCCTGAACTGTATCATCGGGAAGTCGTGTTTTATAAATATATTTAAAGAAGAATCTCTTAACGAAGTTTCATGTTTGTAGCAGTCTTGTGTTTTTAAGAACTATTCTCATGCTCTTAAAAATTTCTTATGCCCCTAAAATGTATTTTACGCAAATTGTAAAAAAAAACATTTCCGTTACTTGTTTTTTTTTTTTTTTTTTTTTTTTTTTTTTTTTTTTTTTTTTTTTTTTTTTTTT